GGTTATTCACCGTCGGAATTGGTGTGTCATCGACGTGAATCCCCAGCGGTAGCCTGACCTCCTTCGTCCAGGTTGTGAACAGGGTCGCGGAGGATTTCGTAGGGGAGAGGGCTAGACACTTTGCAATCGTCGGCATAAGAGACAATCAAGACTCCCTCTGGTGGTTGAGGGAGCTTTGAAATGTAAAAGTTAAACAGTAGCGGGGAAAGGACACCACCTTGAGGAACCCCCTGTTTTATATTTCGCTGCTTACTCGTTTTGTCTCTAAACATTACCGACGAATGTCGACCACTCAGATAATTTGCCGACCACCGTTTGAGCCTCTGTGGGAGAGAGGAGGCCTCTATATCACCTAGTAGCGTGGAATGGCAGACAGCGTGGACAGGGACGGTTTCGGTTAAGGCCACGAGTTATCTGAGTGTTTATGGCGTTAAGTGCTGTTGTTGTACTGTGCACTTTACGGAACCCATGCTGATGCTTCGCTGGGGTCAGGTGGTTTGTGAAGTACGGGAGTAGAAAGGCCTCGAGTGTCTTCGCTACCGGGGAAAGGAGTGTTATGGGATGATAGGAATCTCCTTTGTTGGCAGGTTTCACCGGTTTGAGCAGTGGGACCACTCTCCCCACCTGCCAGATGTCTGGGATGATGAGAGTGGCCATTGACAAGTTGAGGACCTCCGTTAGGTACGCTACCCCCGCAGGACCCAAATTTTTCAGCATCAGCATGCATATTCCGTCGGGACCCATGGCTTTGGAGGCTTTCGCCTTCCCGATGGCCACCTGAACTTCACCGCAAGTGAAAGCAAGGGGGGCACAGGTTGTTGGCAGTTTGTGCTGCCTTCTGGTCACTCTACGCTTGGCTTTGTCCACCGGAGGATGCAGTATGAACTGCCGGCTAAAATAGCTCGCGCATCGCTCCGGTTCCGACGAGGCATGGTCGCCGAAGGAAATTTCGACTCTGTCGTCGTGCTTCGTCGGATTAGACAATGACCTCACGGTTGACCAAAGTTTGCTCACACCAGAGGTGAAATTACAGGTCTTCAGATGCTCCTCCCACTTCTTCCGCTTATGTACGTTTACTAGTTGCCGAATCTCCGCGTTGAGATCCCTGATACGGGGAGATGGACGTCGGTTGGTGTGGGGAGCGCTGTGAAGGTGTTTTCGGTAAACTCCGCGTAACCTTTCCAATCAGCTTTAGAAAAGTTGATATAGGTCCGGTGTTTGGCGGAGGCAAAGTCGGTTGGTTTATCTATCGAGATGACTATGGGTAGGTGGTCTGATGCTAGAGTCAGCATAGGTCGCCATGTTATGCTGTTTATCAGACCAGCGCTGACTATTGGGATGTCTGGCGAGCTACTGCAGTTACCCATAATCCTGGTGGGTGCGTCGTCGTGCATTGTGCAGAACGTCGAATCGTCTATCTGCTCAGCCAAGTCTGTTCCCCTACGATCGTTTGACAGGCTTGAGTGCCAAAGATCGTGGTGCGCATTAAAGTCACCTACTACCATACGGTTTTCACCTCTGAGGAGCGCACCTATATCAGGGTGATATCCTGCCGGGCAGCAGGTGACAGGGGGTATGTATATGTTAAATATTTCGAGCTCGACATCGCCTGACCGGATAGCGATGCCCTGACATTCTAGGGCGGTATCCCTGCGGTCGATGTCTGCTTCGATAAGACGATACTGCACAGTGTGGTGCGTGATGAACGCTAAGCCACCACCATTATCTCGCTCGCGATCTCGACGGTGCACGTTGTACCCGGCGCAATTCAACAAAGTTGAATTGCTGTGCAACTTCGTCTCTTGGACCGCAGCTATCAGTATACTATGCCGACACATGAAGACGGTTATCTCCTCAATCTTGCTCTGTAGCCCGTTGCAGTTAAATTGAAGGAGCTTCATGTGGTTCGGGAGGCGTGTCGTGATGTGGGGTGTAAGTGAAGTGTATGTTCTTGCCGCCGTTGGCTGTGTGTGCTGCTGTGGTGATTGCCGCCCTGTGGTGGTGGCGGGAGGCGTCGCAATAGGGGTCTGCAACCGAGTAGCGCAACACGGGCCCTCGAAGTTCCCAGTCCAATCTCGCGTGGTACGCAGACCTGAGCATGCCCTAAAGTGGCACCAGCCAAGGCAGGTGTTGCACTTGACTGATGTCACATTACGGAATATCCTGGTCTGACATACCGTGCAGATTGTAGGGGGAACCAGGAGTTGTTGGCGGCGGCGTGTGGGTGGTGGTGCGGTTGTGTGTGTTATGTGGTCTGTAGTGGATGTGGTACGGTCTGTGGTGTTATTATGTTGTTGTGTTGTGGTGACTGTGTGAGGCTGCTGTGTGAGTGTGTGTGGCTGCTCGGGCGGACTGTGGTTAGCCGTGGAGGCTGCTCTGTTTGAGCAACAGGGGGCCACGTACGACGTGGTCCACTGTCTATGTGCCCGTGGTCCCGAGAAGACTCTGAGGTGACTCCACCCCTCGCAGGCATTACACTTGACCTAGGTGGAGTTGTGGTGTAATCGTCTCCGGAATACACAGCAGGTGTAGGTTTCTGGCCCTGGGTTTGACTCGATGCCAGCCCTGAGTAGGAGAATGCGTAGTGAATGTAGCCCTATGGACGGAACACTTCTGAGATACTTCGCCGACCTAAACGGGCTTAGATCGCCGAAACAACAGCCCTTAGTCGGGTAAAACCCGAGACATTCCGGTACGTAGAACCGGCTGTCGTGTAGAATTCCTGTCTTATCGTTTGCTGCATGTGCCGAATTTCTGCGTGTAAAAAGATTGAGAACAGCAAATCGAGATTTTTCAGGTATAATGAGGGGATGGCGTTAATTATAGCTAAGAGTGGAGAGGGCCAAACGACCATTGACCCGGAGTAACCCACATTTGTCTAGAAAGGGGTTGAGAACTAGCAATGGGATTTTCTTAGCGATTGGCACTGATATATGTGGTGGGCATGAAATTTCGTGAGGGAAGTATCGGTTTGGCGGTAAAGCAATGAGACGGCGTTTGGGGAAGTGAAACACATTGTGCGATAGGGATGATGTGAGAGGACCCTGTGCGGCTTGATTTCGGTTCTTTAAGCGATCTTAAAATTTGAAGACATATACATAACTTTAAGCACGCGGGAAAAAGACTAGAAACGATCTAAAATGTCGGTATCATCTCCGGCAGCGTGAAAGGCGTCGACACGACACACTTCCGGTGGATTAATGGAGCACATAGTGGATTTCGGCCAGGTGATTGGGTTAGCCATTCCGGCCCATGAACCCACAGAGAAGAAGAGGCCAAGTCGAGGTTGCATCCTCTTGTTCCCATGTCCGCGGGATTTTCTTTGCTGCGCACATGCCTCCAAGTGGAATTTCCTATCATATAAATGACTTGCGCAGCGCGGTTCGAGACGTAGGTTTTCCAGGAGTGGGGCGGTTTTTCCAGCCAGGCCAGGACCATTTCTGAATCTGATCACATTGTCAATTTTCGATCCGAGAAACAAAATTGCAACTGAACAGCTGAGGCTAATTTAGCTAGTTCAAGTCGAGGTAGGCTAATGGTTTTGAGGCGCGCAACCTTGCCTTTTGACACCAGTTTGTGAGAAGAGACTCGGTCACCTTGTGTGGCTCGGACGTATATTCGGACGCCTTTTCTGAAGCGTCGCAGAACCCATGTAGCTCCGTTTGTTGGCCTGGAACGTAATTAACCCATCGGGGTATTTAAATGACCGAGATAGATTTTAAATTGTTGGAAAATTTCAACCATTTATAGAGGTTTTCAACCGAAACTGTGCATGTATGCAATACTTCGTTTTTTTTCACATATGCAATATTTCGGTTTTCAACGAAAGTGTGCATATGGATAATTTTGTTTTTTCTAATATGAATTACTTCCAGTTAGTAAGGGTTATAATCCCAAGCGCCAAAGGCCGCCTACGCAAAAAGAAGTTCTGCGCAAAAATACTTCCGCCCCTCTTTTCCGGCAACACAGAAAGGAGACTTCTACTTAGTAAGGGTTATAATCCCTAAGCGCGGCCGAAGGCTGCCTACACAGAAAGCAGTTCTGCGCAAATATACTTCCGCCCGCCTTTTCCGGCAACACAGAAAGGAGAATTCTACCTAGTCAGGGTTATAATCCCTAAGCGCGGCGGAAGCCCGCCTACGCAGAAAGAAGTTCTGCACAAAAATACTCCCGCCCCCCTTTTCCGGCAACACAGAAAGGAGAATTCTACTTAGTAAGGGTTTTAATCCCTAAGCCCGGCCAAAGGCCGCCTACGCAAAAAGAAGTTCTGCGCAAAAATACTTCCGCCCCTCCTTTACGGCAACACAGAAAGGAGAATTCTACGTAGTAAGGGTTATAATCCCTAAGCGTGGGCGAAGGCCGCTTACGCAGAAAGAAGTTCGTTTTCATGTATATACTATTTCGGTTTTGAGTCGAAACTGTGCATGAATGCATTACTTTCGGTTTCTCTCATATCGATTATTTCCGGTTTGAACTGAAACTGTGCATGTATGCATTATTTCGCTTTTCTTATATGCTTTACTTCGGTTTAGAGTCGAAACTGTGCAGGGTGCCTAAAAGTATCTGACGATAAATTTGTTTTCTACATCGCCATTGAACACAAACTGATACGTGCGCCATTTGAGGATTAATGGCATCAGATCGGTTTGAAGTGTTGGTCCGTTATAGAGAACATCATTAAGATAGAGTCCGGAACTTGATCGTCTTGACGCATTAAATTCGACACGTACCTTGGTGGTTCATTTTTCGGGTTTGACAACCGCGTGGTGAGGGAGATAGAAGGAATAATATTTGCCTTTTGAGGATTTTTCATAGGAAGTTGTTTCTTCCATATGATTAAGGGAGAGATATTCCTCTAAGATATTATCATACAGGCGTTTTAGGTCACCTTTTCGTTAAAGACTTCTCTCCATACTAAAAAATTGCTGGAGAGCTTTGGTACGAGATTGACCTAGGGAGATTTCCTTTGGGAAGCTTGGCTTGAATGGGAGCCGGACTACGTAGCGACCTTCAGGTGTGCGCGATGTAGTTGATTGGTATAACTCTTCACATAGCTTATCTTCATGACTCGTGAGATTGGGGGTCGGAACTTCTTCTACCTCCCAGAACTTTCGCTGTTGAGATTCCAGAAGTTTGTTTGAGTTTTGTTCCACTTGAGTGGAGAAAGATACCACACGATTAGGGATTTGATCGCTCAAAATCCAGCCAATAATAGTATTTTGTGCTAACAGATTTTTTGAGATATGCTCAATGCCTTCAAGCATTATTTGCCGGATGAGATCGCTGAATATCACTAGGTCGATTTGAGATGGGGAGTGACAATTGGGGTCTGCTAGCTTAATATGAGACAACTTGTCGCGTTTTGCGCCAGTTGGTTGGAATCTTGGGAGTATTTTGTTCAATTGGGGTAGCACAGTGGCTTGAGTGGTGACTTTCGTCATCAAGTCGGATGGGACTAAGACCAGAGATCAGATTTTGTTCGAGGTCTGAACTACTGTCCCACCCACGCGGGAGATCTCAAAGTTCGAGCTTTGACATGGTAAGCTCAGTTTGCTTTGGGCCTAAGTAGGAATAAAGCTCTGTTCTGAGCCCTGATCGATGAGAGCTCGGAGTTTAAAGAGTTCTCCTCTCTGTTCTACTGAAACTATTGCTGTAGGGAGAAGGACCTTATTTTCATTTTCAGAGTAGTACCATTGTACTCTGGTTCCATTAGAGCTTGAAGGTAAATCATCTTGTTCTTCCGTTTCTTGTGGGGTTTGCAGGTTGGAGAGGCAGTTAAAGCAATTGGGACATTTATACATCGTACGCTGTTGTCACACGCGATTGGACCTGCGAATATGATTTATTATGAGACTGTTAAAACGCGGTCTGTTTTGGAGTTGGGGGGCTCGGAACAAACTGGAATTTTGGGTATTGGGTGTTGATTTTGCAGGACGCCATTGATCAACGCTTTCAACCACCTCATATCGAGTAATTACAAAGTGGTTCATTTGGGCCCAGTTCGGAAGGTCTTTCCTGAAACTGAGAGATTGCTCCCACAGAGCCACTGTGTTCTCAGGAAGTTTTAAGGTAACGAGGTAAATTATTATGGGGTCCCAGCTGTCGGTGGAGACTTGTTTGGAGGTTTGGGGACAGTTATTCACTGATGATTGGAGTTTTTGAATATCTTCACTGTTCTCCACTTGAATAGCCTTAAAATTCATGAGAATGCGTATTTGGTTGTCAACTAATACTCTTTTATTCTCATAGCGAGACCGTAAGACTTCCCGCGCCAAATCAAAATAGTCAACGCTCAGTGGGAATTGTTTAACTATTTGGCCGGCTTTACCTTGAGTTTTGTACAGGAGATGGTACAATTTCGGGGCCTTTGTGAGTTTTGGGTGGTTAATGTATACCGCCGTGAACATGACATCAAAAGACGGCCATTGCTCATAACCCCCATAAAATGTTGCAGTATCGCACGGTGGGACCTTTAAGCCGAAGCTAGAATTTTCTTGAGTTTGAGAAGTACTGGCAGTAGGCGTGGTATTGCTTGCAGGAGTTGATCACCGATCTGGAATTTCATATATTCATACGCTATGACCTGTAGTTACTATAAGCGGACGCTTTGAAATTTTCGGGAAGGTCCTGTTCCTCGGTCTCTACTACTATATCATACGCATTCTGAACGCGATTCCAAAAATTATCTATATTTTTGCCCTTGATTTTTAATGCAGACTAAGTAATATCTGAGAGCAAAGGGAGGCTTTCGAGATCTATATATATATATATATTTTTATAAATTTTTCTTCTTTCAAATGGGGTATATCGCAGATTAAAAAGTTTAATTTGTTAACCACAATTTCGGGAATGTCGCAGGATACACAGAAAGAGTTTTTCCTTTTAGTATTTAAGGTTCCTTAATATCTTAAATCGTTCGGGAGAAATTAAGTGGGGTTAAAAGGTTTTTTTTTTTTTTAGAATCACTGTATCCACTTTATTATTATACAGGAGAGCGTTGGGGGTGACCGCAAAGAAAAAGGTTTTTGGGCCCCGCTTAGTCCGGGAGCTAGCGACAGTTTTTAAGGACAAAAGTCGATAAAAGTATGAAAATATTTTCAACATAATCACGAAAATCAACCACTTATGCCCAATTAGCGGGACACCGCCTTCATAGAGCATTAACATTTTGTAATAAAAAATTCAAAAATAACCTTATTTTATCGTCGTTGGCCTTTTGTGTGGTTATCGATTAACATTGGACGAAGTCAAAAATTTATTAATTACACTTATTTAGCGGGACAATGTATAGCTTGCAAGCGCGCAAAAATGTCAAAATTTTGGCGAAAATCGACCTATAACAAACATCGCACTTTAAATTTATCAAGCCTATTGTAAGTGATCGGCAAAGTCGCCGTTGCACAGCGGGCAAAATTAGAATTATGGACGGATTTAAATGAAAATTCGCTTCTTAGTAAAGTTGGGGACGTTGAATTCAAAAATGGTATTTGTTTTTGGAGAACTTTCATACATGCACTGTAAATGCGGTCTGAAGTTCACAATTTGGGTTCTTGTAGCATTTAGATACTTACATATACTCGTTCGTTCTATTTTCAAAAGTGAGGTGTCAAATGACAGGGATTGGCGTGCAGATGTGCAATAAAGTTTTATTTTTTTGTAAAGGGTTGCCACCTGTTACAAATTTTATTAAAATTATTTAGGGCCGTTTGCACCATGTCTAGTTAATTCTAACTCCCAGTTAAACATCTTTATCGACGTTATCGACACCCATCATATAAAATGTGATCGATAAAGCAGTTAACGTGCTTAACTAGAGGATGTACCTCCAGTTAGCGTTAACTAGACATGGTGCAAACGGCCCTTAATAAGTAAAATGAATTAGATATTAAAATATGGGTATCAATGAAATGGTTTTGAAAATGCTTTACTCCTTAACGACACGTAGAAGGGTTGTCACATGTTTAAAAAATCTAATTCACTTTAATTAAGGGAATAAGGAAACGGAAATATGTATATCAATATGAGTTTCCGACAAAAGAAAAAATTTGCCATATTTAGCAAGAAATAAGTGAAGAGTAAAAACATTCATGAGTTAATTTAAGAGTCCAGTAATTTAAAAGGAATGTAATCAGAACAAATCACTGATTGACAATGTATGTATTTGTAATAAAATAACAAATACGATGTCGTAAACATTTAGTTTGACACAGTTATTATTTTAGTTTAACTAAATTGGACTTTACAAACAGGTAATATTTGCAAGCTAAAACATTCTTAAACCTCTTTCGTTTGACTCTCGTTTGGTGATATCTGTCTATTTCAATAACCAAATTCCTTTAATTCAAATGGAATTTGATTTTTTAAATAGGTGGCAACCCTCTACATGTAGTTAAAAAAAACCTTTTCATTCACATTTCTATTGATACCCATCTCTTAATAATTCATTCACTGAAAAAAATAAACCTCTATTGTCTACAGGTCAAGCTTTTTAATCTGACAAAAAATGATTTTATGCATTAGCAACAAACGTATTACTTCAAAAAGTCCAAAAAATTAGCTGGTTTTTATTTCTTCTTTCGAAAGCTAAAAGCCCGTGTTGTTTATTAAATAAAAATAGCATATTTTTGAATATATTTTTTATTCATTCCATTACATTTTACCATTTTTTTTAAATTTCGATTAAAAAAATGGTTCTTCTGGAATAACGCAGGGATCTAAACGTAACAGGCTCATGTACTATCATTAGAAGATAGTTAAAAAACAACTTCTTTAAAAGGTCTGCAATTGGAAAATTTAGCCAAATACGTGTGTGCTCCATTGTACAATATACTATTGAGCTATGATCCTCGTGCACCACTTTTTCATTTGTTATTTAAAAAGTTACAGAGCGAAAAAGTAAGAAACATTACAAAAAAAAAACAATATATATAATACCCAAAGGCATTTTTTGTCCATTCGCTCGATTTTCGAAAATGAGGTGTCAAATTAAAGAGCTTGGGCTTTAGACGCTAGGACTTACCGTTGATTTTTGGAAATTTATATTTGATATTTTTTTATACGAAATATATACGGAGCACCCTCAACAAAAACAAATTGCCAAAAATCAACGATAAGTCCAAGATACCTAAAAATTGCACTTTTGGCTAAATACGCTGATCAAGAAGTTAGAAATTTTGAAATCATTGAAAGTCATTGACGCTATTTCCTCATTCAAGTGGAAATAGCGTGAACAATGCTTAAAGTATGTCGATTCATAGAAAAAAATGTTGTTCTTACAATAAACATTGCCCCGTAAGTATTGTTTTTTAATAGATGAAAAAGGTTATTGCCAAATCCTCAGTGTTGTGATTTTGATCCACACACAATCATGAACTACCACCATTTGATTTTATTAAAAAATTTAAATTACGAATATGTAAAAACACAATGCGAAAAACTAAACGCCTGCGCACAGCTGGAATACGAGAAATATTTGAAGAAAGAGTGTAGAAATAATCCATAACTTGCAAAACATGTTTCGTGTCCACAAAAATAAAGCGAACACTATTAAATTGAAGAAACAGTCCATGTCCAAAAACCCCGGAGGAACACTGAAAGAATTCTGTGTTTTAAATTAGCATATTTTGAACGAATTCGGAATGTCTAAGGTGGAAAAGAAACAAACCTTTCTATAAGGAAACAATTATAGAAAAAGGATTTTCTTACACTGTATTCATGTCTCCGCCATCATTTTGTGATGACATCATTTAAGAGCAGCTAAGGAGAATGACGACACTATTTACTAGATGGCACATGCAACGAGCCAATATGCCAAAATGCGGGTATAAACAATTATTGATTATTTAATATCGGAACCGAGATCATATAAGTTAATTGATTGGTTTTCACACACTTTTGAAACACAAATGATATGCTTTTTTACTGCAGACAAGTCGTTGCCCCAAAACACAGCAGAAATCTTCCAATCAGCGCTGGCAACTATTCTTAGTTATGAGGTGCCATATTGAGGATAAAAAAGTGCCAAAATGTGCCAAATAGGAAAATAAAAGTGCCAAAAAAGGTGTCATTCCTTTTAATCATTCACATTTAGCAATAAAATAAAGCTAAATTTTCCAAACAAAAGTGCAATGATAAAATAAGATAAACCAGTTGAATAACCTTTATAAATTAGAAAATTTTAGTTGAGAAAAAGAAGTGCACGCTAAGGATTTCACAAAAATGTATTGAAATGTAATTTTTTTTACAAAAGTGCCATTTTGGCACT